GTGACGAAATGTGACGCATCACCACATCACACAGAGGCTGGTCAAGGATACACGAAGATACCAAACTTATAATAGTTCACTGTTGATTCTCTTGTTCAAACATTTTTATTTTTTTACAAACAGAAAGACCGCTCTAATGCTTGGGACGGGCGTGTTTGAAACAAATGTTCAAAATGTACCCTGGAAAGATTGCAGAAAATTAAAAAAATATCTGTCCAAAAGGTTTATGATAAAATTGAATTCATTTGTGTGTATGGCATTTCCTTGCTTCCTTCCTGCCCCTTATTAATGGGTTGGCGAGTCTGCTCAATATTCACGAGCTAGCATGCACCCTCATCATAGCTTTTAGGTTAAGGTCATTCGAAAGTCCAGCTTTTGGAACGCATGCTAAAGATAACAAGAGGGTGAAGTCATGGGGTGTTATTCTGTTATCAAAGGTGGAAAACTCACGCTGGGGACGCGACGACCCAAAGACCTCCCGAACATGTATAGGATGGCATGAGAGTCGTAGCCTGTAAATTAATTTGGAACACGTAGCTAGCTAAAATTATCACCAAAAGTGTATTTTAGTTGTGTGCTCTATTGCAATATTTTCGAAGCGTAGCTCTGTTTCTGTGAAAAATACGAACATGATTACCCTACGGCCAGGTCGCAGAGAGCTCTTGGGGTCGACCGACTGCTCTATCCGACCCGAGCTTGCTGCAAAATGATTTCTACTATTTAAAATAGAAGCGAGGACTAATTTCACGACGGACTCAGATCAAATCGAGCGACTGGGTGGTTCTTACTCTCGCCCTGTCTCGGTTGTCTGCGCCAGTGCTTGCCATAGAGATTTAGAGAAATCTTGGAGCGTGCAGTATAAGATACACCCTGGTTGAAAATTTGAAATAGTTACATGCAGAAGCTCATATTTCAGTCCAATTTACAGCTCAGCACTCTATTCGGAAAACTCAAAAAGTGGCGGCTCATTGCAGCACACTGCAAGTGAGACGACTGGCGGTAGCCATTGTCTCATAGACAGAGGAGGGGAAAAGGGAGACGGTTGAGGGGGAAGGTGAGCGATGAGATGGGAAGGAGAATAGAGGCAGGAAGAAAGAGGTCAAGTATGAAGGTCGAAGGCCAAAAACACACGCTCACACAAGGAAGAGAGGAGACAAAAGGAAAAGGGGAATGAGGATGAGAGGCTGAGGGAGCATGAAGAGAAAGATGAAGAGAAGTGGGGCAGGGAGGAGCAAGATCAGACGGAGGAGAGAGGAAAGAGGGGAGGAAGAGCACACAGAGGGAATATGAGACCAATGGGGAATGAGGAGATGGCACGGGGTGGGGCCAGGTAAGACGTAAAACATCGCAGGTCATAGGCCTCGGCTGCATGGACACAAGATCACACCTCCCCGACCACTCAAAATGAAGAGCCATATGCAGCTGCCACCAAAAAGAAAAGGTCAAAGGCCATGAACATAGAATCACTCCAACGAGAGAGAAGGGGGAAGAGGGGAGGAAAGATGAGTAGGATGGGTAGCGGGAAGAGGAAGGTGGACAAGAGAGTAGAGGAAGAGGGGAGGGAGGAATAAGGACACCGAGGAGATAGAAGGGGAGATGGCGAGGAGGAGCAGTCAAGGGTCCGAAGTCGAGATCAAAGGTAACGAACATATAATCCTATGAAGGTGGGGAAGGGGGGGCCACAAACATTAAATCATGCGAGGAAATGAGGAGTGAAAGGTTAGAAAAGGCAACATAGGAGAGATGGGACGGGAATGGGGTGAGATTAAAGAAAAGTGAGTGAGAGGCGGCGGGGGGGGGGGGGGGGGATGGGGGGGGGGGGGGGGGGGGCAGGTAGGAAGGAGATTTAGCATCAAAGGCCACGGATACAAGGACGCACTCCGCCGACCACTCAAAATGAAGGGCCCCAAGGGGGGAGGCACTCACTTTATCGAGTGACGTGTTAGCGAATGTCCACGTTTCACCGAATGACACTTTAGCGAAAATTCGGACGCTGCGAAGCGGCGTTTTCGGGTGGGCCAAGTGGGTTCACATTTTTGTAATGAGCCGCCGCAGACTCGCCGCGCGGCGGATGGGTTAACGCGCGCCCCCGTTATTCGCTAAAACGTCGATTCGCTCAAATGCCGCTGTTTGCTAAAACGTCATTCGCTCATCTAATATGGACCCTAATTATAATGAAACGAGGATAATCGCACACACATTGTTAGCCCCCGTTCACTTCTCGCCAAAGAGCCGTCGACACGAGAACATATTTGAGCTTGAGGCTTCGAAGCTCGCTCTGCGTGGACCACTCTTTGCCTACATTTGTTATCTGGACACATCACAATGGCACAGCACAGTCGCATAGCTACGGTACTACCGTTTCGATGTTAACAGTTCACTATCGTTACCGATATTACGGTCGAGGTCATCCACTGATCACTGCAAGACGTTCAAGATCGCCATCGTCCGCCATGATTGCACACTAGTACGGCATTACGGTTATGGCTGTACGGCTTAGACCAATTTCCAATTTCTCCAATCAATGTAATGTTTTATAACTCTTAAAAAAATCTTATTTTAGTACTGTCATATAAATTTCCACAGTTTATTCCTACTTGAAACTTCATGTTTAGTCGTTTACTCGTTTACGCACACTGTTGACAAGCCAAGATGCCAAGAGTGCAAGTAGCTCAAGCCAAGCAAGGTCGAAGCCAGGTTGACCACGTGACCGTATGTCAACGGACCGTCAAGGCCTGTTTCATCGGACCGCTCTGCCGATCTCTCGGCGTGGAGGAAACGTAAACAAAGGTATGTTTCATTTTCGTTGTTGTTACTACTTGTGCTGAACAATGGAGCGGGCGAAGCGTTCGCTATCAGAGCTATCCGATCGTTAAAAAAGACGTAGAGTAGCCGAAAGTGTTCGCAAGGAACTTGAAAGTTGCGGTACGAGCAGTGAGGAGTCTGTGGCAGAGGTCGGCATTTTAGGTCGCCCTCACTCACCCTCACCCTCACAGCCACACTCACCTAAGCCCCTCACTCACCCTCACCCTCACAGCTACACTCACCTTCAGCCCCTCACTCACCCTCACCCTCACAGTCACACTCACCTTCAGCCCTTCACTCACCCTCACTGAACCTCACGGCCCTCACGCACTCACCGCCCTCACGACCCTCACGCCCCTCACGGCCCTCACGCCCCTCACTCACTCATGGCCCTCACGCCACTCACCGCCCTCACGCCACTCACCGCCCTCACCGCCCTCATGGTCCTCACCGCTCTCACGGCCCTCACGCACTCATAGCCCTCACGCCACTCACCGCCCTCACCGCCCTCACGGCCCTGACGCCACTCACCGCCCTCACACCACTCACCGCCCTCGCGCCACTCACCGCCCTCCACCACTCACCGCCCTTGCGGCCCTCACACCCCTCACGCCCCTCGCGCACTCGTGGCCCTCACGCCACTCAGGCCAGCTCCAGATGGGGCTCTTTCGCCCAGAAACTTTACGTCGCAACACCAGCAACACGGGCCGCCCGCGACCACATGCAGCAACCAATTGCTGCAATTTACCATCGTCATCATAAAAATTTGATTTTTCTTGCACTGTTTAGACAGAATTACGCGTTATAAATGTGTTTTGATGCATTTAAACTTCGTTAAGAATACTAATGCACCTTTCTGAAACAATTTATTTCCAAAAAAAAAACGATCGATTTCAAACCAGAACCAAGTCTTTCGGTGTCATCATCAGCGGCACGAGGTATCACGTGAAAATTTTGCGTCCCTGATTGGATGAAGCCGCTTCAAACGTATTCGAATCGCTCCGAGTTGCTTGCTTATTTCGAGCCGGACCCGATCTCAGCAATTCGTGTCGATCTAGGAAAAGCTAGAGAACAACCCGCCATTAACACCAAAATTGCTGAGAAAGATGCTCGATCTGAAGGGGGCCTCACGCACTCACTGCCCTCACGGCCCTCACGCCTCTCATGCCACTCACTGCCCTCGCGCACTCATGGCCCTCACACCCCTCACGCACTCACCGCCCTCACACCACTCACGCACTCATGGCCCTCACGCCACTCACCGCCCTCACGCCCCTCACGCACTCATGGCCCTGATACCCCTTACCGCCCTCACCGCCCTCACGGCCCTCACCGCCCTCACGGCCCTCACGACCCTCACCGCCCTCACGGCCCTCACCGCCCTCACCGCCCTCACCGCCCTCACCGCCCTCACAGCCCTCACGGCCCTCACCGCCCTCACGGCCCTCACCGCCCTCACAGCCCTCACAGCCCTCACGGCCCTCACAGCCCTCACGGCCCTCACAGCCCCCACCGCCCTCACGGCCCTCACGGCCCTCACCGCCCTCACGGCCCTCACTCACCCTCACACTCATGAATTTTCCTGGTTCAGAAACTCACTCACCCTCACCTCACCTGTGAAGATGAGGGTGAGTGAGGGTGAGTGAGGGCCCTCATGAGTGAGGTTTGCCGAGGTATGGTCTGTGGACACTGAGGAAGCATACCCTCTTGCACCTGTACAACAGGCCGTGGCAGCACATGCAAGTTTTTCCGGAGAGTTTGAATACCAACGAGCTTCCGAGTGTGAATCTGAGTCGAGTGATACGAGTGGTGCACGAAATAACCTAATCTCAGAACACCTGTGTCAAAATCCCCGCTGCGAATTCCCCGCGTTACCTCCCCCTCTTCAAAATCCCCGGCCTTCAAAACCCCCTTTCCTTTATCCCCTTATCAGTTCCCCCGGGCCAGTGGTCCTTAGAAACCATTTGGAAAAGCGCTTTTATGGACACTTCATAAAGCTGAGCTGTGTTATGACCATCCTAGCCAGCCCCAAATTTTCTTTGACACACTGTGATCTTGCAGAATCTCTCTTGAGAGAGTTTGTTTCTGGAGCTGGTACCTTGTATGAGGGGGTTTATGTCTACAACATGCACTCCCTGATCCACCTGACAAGACGTTCGACAGTTCGGCCCTGTCAACACCTTCTCGGCCTTTCCCTTTGGGAACTTCCTTGGGAAGCTCAAGAAGTTGGTGAGGGGTCCTTCCTTGGCGCTGCAGCAGGTTATCAAGAGGCACTCAGAAGTGAATTCCACCACCGTGTCAAGTTCTGTGCAGCAGAAGTGTGCTCTGCTCAAGCAACAACCTGAGCCGCCAAGCTTCAAGAAAACCCAGTGCAGTGAGCTTGTTTTAGACGGAGCACATTTCTCTCTGAAGGCGTCCGACAACTGTGTTCAACTGAAGTATGGCAACATTGCTGTTGTTAGGAACTTGATTGAGTCAGATGGGAACTGTAGCATCTGCGGACAGTTTTTCCGAAATCTCGGCAACCTTTATACTTCAAAGCTGCCATCATCAGAGCTAGGAATTTTTAGAGCTACAGGGCTCTCCATGCAGTATTCAGTGGGGAGTGTGCAGGACATCAGGTGGAAGTGCGTCTGCTTGCAATATAACCAGGGACATGATTGTAAACCTGAGACTGGGGCAGAAAGGAGAACACAGCAGAAGGTAGAAAAAGAGGAGGCAATGTCTCAAACTCAGCTGCAAAGTTTATTTCGTACACGCCTTATATACCACAACTCCAACGCTGTCTCTACAAAAAAAAAAAAAAGATATATGACAAGAGGACAATGAAATTTGGGTAAACCTTCTCTTATCTCCCTTGACCTCTCCTGCAAAACACTCACACAAAGGGTCACATTCCAGCATAACCACCGCCATTCGGCGTTGGAGTTGTGGTATATAAGGCGTGTACGAAATAAACTTTGCAGCTGAGTTTGAGACGTTGCCTCCCCTTTTTCTACCTTCTGCTGTGTTCTCTTTTCTGCCCCAGTCTCAGGTTTACAATCATGTTCAACTTATACCAGCTCGCCTGCACTCTGACTATTTTTTCGATAACCAGGGCTATGCTGTTTTTTTATCTACTTCACTTGCAAGTGTGATCTATGTTTGCAACTATTGTACATTGGTTGTGCTTAATTCGAAAACTGTATTTTTAGTGACTTATGACTGGTCTTTAAGGTAATAACGGCTTTATTTGTTGATTTCAGGAAATGTACTCTCTTGTCCATTTTTTGGCGGAAAATGATGTCGCAGTTGTCCCTACCTGTTGGGTGTGCAATGGCTGCACGGCATGGCCACCCTACAAATCAAATCGGTTGATGATGGCAATTAGAGAGCGTGAAGAGCCCTCGACTGACTGGGCCACATTCTCCTGTCAGGTGATGGCATCATGTTGTAAGTATAGCAGGGTGTCTAGCAACCGGGAATTGTTAGGGAAATTTTAATTATTGGGAAAAATCAGGGATATTGTCAAAAATCAAGCCCAGTCATGGAAAATGAGCTGGAAATGCCATTGAGTGCCCTGAGCAAAGAGTTGAGAACCTTGGGGCAGAGAAATAGGCAATAAATTCTGCTTAGAGCGGAGCGCGGACTCTGCTCACCCAATGTAGAGTGTGCTAGAGCACTGCACGAGCCAGAATTTCTAGACCCGGCCCAGTAGAGGCGCGGCCCGGGTTTGGCCCGAGCCTAATAGAATATTTAATTTCCGGGCCCGGCCAGACTTGGCCTTGAAGAGACACTGCTCGGGCCCGGCCCGGACCCGACAGAATTTTAGACAGAAGCTTGAGCCCAGCACGAGCCCGACAAAATTTTTGTTTTCTTTAATATAAACCTGAGCTGGCCCAATCCTCACAGATTATATACATGAGCCCGAAAAAGTTGGCAGGCTTTAACCTAAAAGCTGTCTAACCATAAAGCGAGCATATTTGATTTAATGAACAAAAGTTTAGGGTGCATACAAGCTTGTGGTGGTTAAACATTTGACTGGTGTGCTCGGCTTTCTTGTTTCAGTGACATGTGAAGATGCAAAGTACAAAGAAAAAAAATTCGGAAGCGACGTCCGACCTAACATTGAATAATGAAGAGCGGGAGAAGAGAAAAAGGAAGAGACTGCAGCATACTCTTTCTTCATTTGAGGATGAGGACTTCTATGACCAAGATGTATGCACCTAAATTTCTGCAACACCTTTGTATTCGGGATTCATTTGCCCTCCTTTTTCATCAAGCTTGCCTCTTATGCAGGAACGACGTAACACTCAGCCAGCCCCTCAACTTCCAGAACGTGCACCAGAGCCCAAGCAAAAACGCACACGTGTATGTTTGCTTTTTGTTGCTGCAATTTCTTAACGCTTTCCAGCATTTAGATTTTTTATTTTATGTGATTAGCCTCAGCTTGGTTAGCCGCAATTGTGATAATGAATGGTATCCATATTGTTTATTGAGCACCTGCTGTTTTGGTGTTTCTTTTAGAGCGCAGCTCTTAGGCGCCCGTTTCCGGCTTGAGTGGTGTCGCCGTCGCCGTAACCGCGGCGACGTTTCGGCAAGGTTACGTTTCGGCACCATGCCAAATTGTCCTCGCGGGGTCACGTGACCCCCGTCAGGAGGGTCACGTGACCTCACGGTTACGGCGACACCGCTCAGAGGGAGGTGTGGCAGGGAGGAGGGGTATACCCTTTTCTCGGGACCCTTCCCTCCTCCTCTAGAGCTGCACTCTAATTTAGCGTTACAGGGAGTTGTAAACGGCTTTCATATTTTTATCTAGTCATTTTTAATTTTACAAAGCTGCTAGTTGTTTTATGCTTCCTCGCACAAGGACAGTTATAGCCTAAGGGATGGTGAAGTGGATATTTTTAATTTGACGGTGCATATGTTTGCTTTGTATTGCTGCAACCTCATGTTTGCATAATTCTGCTGTACTAGTCATTTTTATTTTACAATTTAATTTATTTTGTTTATTTATCTATGCTTTCTGGTCAAAGGATACATTAGAATGCTTGCTGTTTGTGCACTCTAACCCTAGCACTTTTTATGAACCTGTCCTCTGCTTTATATGTGGAATGGTTTGGGCAGCGTTAGGATTGACCACTTCTTAAAGAAAGGTGGTACATTTTGTTTTACACCACCGAGCACTCTTTGGTGTAAGGTACATTACCATATAGCTGAATGACACAATCAGCTATACACGTTTGCAAGCAGTCATGTTTCCAAAAGTAGTCTAGCCACCATGGGTAGGGAAACGTGCTCTCAGGGTACCAATCTGTCAATTAGCTTAGTGACGCTTTAGCAAGCCTTCATAATCGGATTATCTGGGGTGCACCCGAGCTGGAAGATGGCAGCGCGCAAGGGCCCGCCATTTTGCAGACTCTGTCTCATTTTTGTTAGTGAGAGAAAACAAAGGCTTCTTCAGTATCATCTAGGAAAACCACATGTCCAATATTATCTCCATTTAAATCTTTATGAAATGGATCAGCAAACTGCTAACCCTAGCTGACAATGTAGGCACAAACGACAGCGCAGTTGCTACTACGGCTTCAGTGCACCAAACATCAATTTACTATGTCAGGTGCATTGTTACGTTTTCTTTGTTTTTTCCATGCACAGTCAGTCCTTGACTTGAGCAATGTCTTCTCCAAAAGTTGGTTCAGCGGTGTCCACATGATTGGCACAGACCTGGATGTGCACGTTTCTCATGGTTCACCTCTGTTAAATAATAATGGCATTGTTTGCACAATGTTCACATACTCAATGGCTTATTTATGTACTATTTAGTAGACCTCGCTGCATACTAATGTTCCTGAGATATTTATTCCTTTGAGAAAACTTGGCTTTAGCGTAGGTTGCAGTGGTGCGGATGTCGTCCGACACGGAGCTGACAACACTCAGGCCAGTCTGTTTGCGTCGTCCTCGCAGGGGTAGCACATCATCATTTGTACCATGGGATTGGTCATGTCTCCTCCGTCTCTGCCATTGTTGCCTGTAGAAGCCAATGTTTCGGGTTTTATTTGGGCTATGTTTAAAGCAAAATTGCATAGGAAATATCCCACCAATGCATGAAATAAAATAGTTATTTTTATATTTCTTTTTAAATTTATTTTTTATTTTTATTTGAAGTCTTATAATTCCAAAAGTTTTGGAATTAAGCAGAGTTGCCCTTTAACAACAAATGGCTATAGCTAAACAGGGCACACAAGTGAGGAGCTTTTTTTTTTCTAAAAAGGCGAAAACCACATGAAGCAAAACAGATAAATTGGTATGTTTGCTTATCAGTATAGCTTTGAGCCATGTGCCGCAGCCACCTCTGCTGTGGTTTTTATAGCGTACTCTGACCGATTTCACTGTAGTAGCATTTGAGATCGATGGACCAACGAATATAGTTTGAATTCATACAAAAATTTGCTTGGTTTCAGTTTTCTGGATTTGGCTCTTTTAGATGAAAGGAAACTGTGTCCTGGTGAAGCATGTGACAGCAGCCCACATAAGCTCACTACAGTGGAGTTTTGTCCCATGCCTCGCTCCCGAGCTATCTGGCTCATTGACAGGGTGTCTAGCACCTTGGAAAAGCTGGAATTGTCAGGAAATTTCGGATCATCTGGAAAAGTCAGGGAATTGTCAGGGAGATAATCAAAAAGTTAGCTAAATCAGGGAAAATGGCCAGGGCGAGTAATGCGGTGGTGTGCGACGAAGCCAGGAGAGTCGTGCATTGACGTGACTGTGCTAAATACCATTGCCCGAAACTTTGTAAGTCTTTGACTTCTTGAGCAACATAAAGTCCGATTTCAATAAATTGTTTTAAATTGTGAGTGGTGTTCACTTATGAGGTGTTTAGTAGCAGTTCGTACCACATCTCCAAACTTCTGTAATGGACAGGGAATTTAAAACCTGGAAAAGCTGGGGAACTTAAAAGGAGGAATTTGCTAGACACCCTGGCTGATTTCATAGTTACCGATGTCTGCCAAGTTATGCTGAAGTAGGGCATGAAATTGTCTATATTTCACTGTGGTAGCTGACATTGTGTTGTAATTATATACTTTTGAAACAGGAGCTGTGCGCACCTGCTTTAAACAGAAGGCAGAAAACAATGAGCCAGCCATCATCGTGCAGGAAGCCGACGCCAAATGGGCTGCTGCTGAATCGGTCAGGCATGCACCAGCTAGGACCAAGAAAATGGTAATATGATATTTCTACTTTTGCTTAAACTCCCGAAAAATACTTTTGCATCCTAAAACAAGCCCAGATTTCAAACAAAGGCATTAGTCTACTTTACATAAAGACATTTTTAAGTATTAAGAAATTTATTTAGCCAATGAAAGAACACCATGTTATGACATTGTCTGCAATGAGCTTGACATTGTAGAAAATATGAGGCTCATTGACATTGCCCCTGGGTCCGGACAGTTCATCAAACGCCGTTTCATTGAACATTGTTTCATCGAAGCTGTTTCATTGAACGCAGTTTTATCGAACGCTGTTTCATTGAACGCCATTTCATCGAAGTTGTTTCATTGAACGTAGCCTATTTGAGCAGTAGAAATATTTTTCTTTTTAGTGCCGGGAGGATAGCAGTGTTTTAATATTTATTGTAACTTATAAACTTATATATATATAAAAGGAAGGAACCTTTTTTTGTCACCTTCTATTCTTTTTTTTTAGTAAATGATGACTTCTGTTAATGAGGCCAATAAGACACGGTAACACTAACGACACTTTTAAAAGCTGTGATCATCAGGTGCAGTGATGAATGCACGTCCATTCAAAAGCGTATATATATCTTTGTCCTTGAAGAGACCTATTCTGCTTCAAGACGAAGCCGTCCTTGAGGCAATGATCTGTCTCCGTGGCCCATGATACGGGGAAAAGAAAAGACGTGTCTCCTCTCTTTGTTAATTTATTATTTATATTTATTAGTAGAAGAACATCTATGTTCTTAAAAAGAAAGCTATTCTCTTAGGATAAAATGAAAACAAAGTTAAATCTACAGATACAAAATAAAAAAGGTGCTGCAGAAAATAGCTGTTTCCCTCTTAAGAAAGTGCCTTTCACGCATGAATAAATAGAAGGTTGAAGTGGGAAAAAGTGAGTGGCCGAGAACAGCCGCCTACCTTGCCAGAAAAGAATAAGTCGCATATCCACTGTCTTCTGTGGGTAGGTCACACTTTGCGGTAAAAGTCTAAACTGGATGAAAAGAATGGCTTGTGCATGCAAAGAAACTGTGGTGAAACTGCTAGGACAGATGTAGGCATTTCTTTTTTTATCTTGATGACACTCTCTGCCCTGAAATAGGCACCCATTTTCTGAATGCAACCAACTTTTTTGTGTTATTTTTTTGCAGGAGCAGTGTGCCTCTTCTCAGGAGTGACTGAGGGGCTGCCACAAGGGGAGAAGGCAAGCATGTTTCTGATTACAAGGATGGACAGTTGGGCTGGGCTAGTTGGTAAGAATTCATGTTAAAAAACGGTGCGAAAACCAGACAAAGGAAAAAGAACACACAGTGCCTTGTCCTGTGTGTTTTCTTATCCGTGCATTTTGCGCTGTTTTTCAGCATGTTTCTGCCTTGATTTTTCTGTTAGTTTTAAATGTAAGTAGTTGGTTACTTTGATCCCAGTTGGAAGCATGGAATTGGTTAACCGTGCTAAATGCATAGAATTGAAAAAAAAAAAAAAAAAAATTCATGCTACCTAAATTATTTAAAATGCTTTTTTTTTCTAATGATTTCTTTCTCCTTTTTTTACAGCCATCCCATGAGTAGAGTCCCTGTTGTTTGAATTTTTTATGTCAATTTGTAATATGCATATGTTACCTTTAATTTTTATTCATGCATACATTTTAGCCCCAGCTAGTGGTTTGTTTTATTTAATTTATGTACACATTAGTGTGGTATTTTTAGAAGATTTAAAATTTATGTTCTTTTTCTAGTCATTTTTGGTTTATTGCCTCCGTTATTTATTTATATGTCCTAGCCCAAGATCGGGTGTAATTTGAGATATATTTAGAATTTTATTTTAGGCTACTTGCTTTATGTTGCTGGGAGTTTTAATATTTTACATTTTTATTTTTATGCAGATCAGCCTTGTAATTTAGTGTGTTCTTTACAATTTTGTAGATCTAATAGCTTGTAAGAAACAGAAGAATTCTCTGGTACTTGTAATGTTGGTTTCGTTTTTGAAATAAATTTATTCCAATAACTTCTTGTTTTCTTCCGGAGTCCTGCTTCTAGGATTTCAAAATGCTGATTCATTAATGGCCTGTAATGCACATCCATTTACTCATATCAGGCACCAGCTCAAAAAATGACTTCATGACAACCATAAATGCAGTTTCCTGGCAGCGCTTGTCAATGTATTTTCGGATAACATTGTTCAGTACTGTCCAAGTAACACGTGCAGTAATATCTGGCCAGTGCCAGCATATTGTAAAAATGTTTACTGAAAGTTAACAGAATAAAAGCACTGAGAAAAAACAGATGACCGCTCTTTCATTTAGTTACGACGCTCGTTTTTTGGAAGCAAAGACTCGCGCACAGGTCAAGATTAACTGCAAAAGGAAGGCTTGATCAAAGGAACTTTAGGGAGATAAGGGATGAGTCAGTAACACTCCACCTTCGGTATCTAGTTGATCTCGACCTGTATGCGACTCTTTGCTCCTCAAAAAATAAACGTTGTTGCGAAATGAAAGAGTGGTCGTTTGTGTATGTTCTTCACATTTTTATTCCTTCACTTTTAAGTAAGCCGTAATGTCAGTGCAACATTTTGGTGTAACATTACTGGATGGTAGAATTCGTGGCCATTAACAACAACTAGCAACGTTAGCGACGACGTCCGAGTAACATCACTGATCTAGCATCCAGGTAACATAGAGAGCTATGTTACTGCAACGTTTTGATGTGACGTTACTGGAAGGTAGAACTGGTGGCCATTAGCAACGTTTGGCAACGTTATCTAACAACGTTCCAGTAACATTATTTGGGTAATGTCCAGGTAACGTATGCAGTTACGTTACTGTAACATTGTGCTGTAACGTTACTGGAGTGTAGAATCCGCGGTCGTTAGCAGCGTTCGGCAACGTTACCTGACAACATTCCAGTAACGTTGTAGCCACATTTTGTGCTACTTGGGGAATGTGAGGGGGCCCCTTGTTCGGGAATGCCCACTTCATCTGCCGGCGTCTTATTTATTTCTGCGCTCAAACTTTCGTGATGAGCAAAATTAGTACTAGATTTCGAAAGCAGTTAGTAGTTTGAGTAGAAGTTACCTGATAAACGTAGTTAAATTAAACTACTAATCACCCAAATAAAGTTGTAAATGAAAGTTACCAAGTTACTCGGAAAAGTAGTTAAACTACAGTAGATTGAGTACAGTAGTTGAACTACGTCCAAGTCTGGAAAGAATTGGCATCTTTTACTTTTGACATTGTTTATCTTGCCACAAAGGACAGAAAACACACCTGCTTCCTTCGAAATGTTGTGAATCCGCCGCGTAATCGCGAGGCAAAAATTAGAATATCCTTGATCTGCAGCCGCGAGCGGCGGCCATGAGAACCACTCGGCATGACGTCAATGGGGGTCTTGTAGAAAGATAGCAAGTGGTGCGAATACCTGCTCGATAAAAGGTAACTTTTCTATAAACCTTGTCGTTCCAGCATAAACATAAATACTTAAAAAAACCTGGTATCATCGACGAAACATTTATTACACGGAGTTTTAGTGGCGCCATCTATCCTAGGCCCACAAAACCGTCAGCTCTATCTGCTACCACCAAGGGCAAGGAGGATGGAAGGGTAGGAGAGGGCATCACGTCCGCCGCGTAGCCTCCACAAGCCATGCTCCCTTGACGCCTCGCCTCTTTCTCATTTCCCTCCTTACTCTCCTCACTTACCACGCCAACGTGACCACATCACGTGACCGTAGCTCGCCTTCGTCTTGCTATGGGGTACTAGAATACACCGCAGTCTAGCCTTCGATCTGATAAAACCTACCGGACGGAGCGCGCGCAAGCCTGCAAGGAGTCCTTCTACAATCAACCATCCATCTCACACGTGACATGTCACGCGCACCAACCGCCAGAGAGATCTGCGGTCACGCTGGGCACAAAATCGTTTAAACTTTTTATGACTAGGCTTCACCAATATTGCAACGTGCCCCCTCCTAGTACTTCTAACCTCCTTGGCTACCACGAACAGCTGCCGGAAGCCGGAGGGGGAGCCCAGTGTTGCCAGATGGCCCCACAAAAAACCGCCAAATCGCTCAAATATAGTCAAAGCCGTAAAAAAAATATAGCCAAAACTAAAAACAATTATTTTAAAGCCTTTGATAGGCAATTTTCACACACATACAAAACACGTTGCATTCTCTTTTTCAAACCTCAGATGCGCCACATTTTGTGTAAATTATGTCCCTTGTGAATTTTTCAAAAATAGGTTTCGGAAATATAAAAATCCGTGCAGCACTGACCCTTCCTTTGTAGGATTTCAGAAATAAAGAACACATAAAGACAGCTTTATTGTGAAGTCCGGGAGATATGATCATACAGTAAGCTGCGGACTTCTCATTTTTAGGAACTTGGGTGCCTAAGGATTCTCAAATATGGGCACCAAAGCAACGTTTGGAGAGTTCAGTCTATGTTCGGGTAGAAGACGCGCTACCGGGCCTGTGGTTATAGTACAATTTGTTTGGTTTGCTCCACTGCGCTGTGGGGGGACCGCTTGAACTCTGCAAGCATTGCTTCTCTGCGCATTGTGAGAACCCCGAAGTTTGTCCAAGTTTGAAATCAGTTTCTCCTTCCTCTCTCTCCTCTGGACTGGGCAAAAGAGGAACAATTTTCTTTAAAGCCGATAAAAAGTCCGTAAATTAACTAGTCGAACTTCAGAGTTCGACGTCGAACCTGAAGTTTTGACAAAAGTTCGCAGTATCCTTAGAAATAGCCCAAAATAGCCACATAATCAACAACGAAATTTCGAAGCCAACTAGAAAAAAATGTAGCCCAATTTGGCTATATATAGCGCAATCTGGCAACACTGAGGGGGACAGGGGCAGAGACGGACGGGAATGGCCGGACCCGGATGAGACTTTCCTCCTTTCACCATATTGTTCGCGCTGCGCCAGCACGTGGTCACGCGGTCGCAAGCGGATGAGTTCTCGCTGTTCACTGGTGGCTCTAGACAGAGAAAGCTTCACCGGAACACAGCGCGACGCCCATTGACGTCACAGCGCACTGACTCGGAAGTTGGTGAAGGAGTTGAGAGGTGCCGAAAACCTCAATCTTTGTCCATTTTTAAAATAAAAAAAAAACTAGGACATGCAGGCAAAAGCGTTTTTTTGTTTTGTTTGTTCTTCACTTCAGAAACGCCGAGACACCAATTCCGAAATTATTTAATCAAACCTCTAAAACTGTTGCACAGCTCCTTTAAAGTCGGTCAATACTGTTTTTTTTTTTTTTTTATTTTATTATTTGACCCTTACTTTATGATATTTTTCAATATTTTAGAATGAGGACAAATAAGAGAACGACACATGGTCAGGCCTCGATACCTCTGTGTGTCGCCTCCTGCTTCAATCCTAATTCTGAAAAAAAAAGAAAAAAAAGAGTGGTTATTCGGACTTTAGAATAATGTCAAAAAATAAGCCCTGCATTTATATATCCATGTTTAACAGCCACGCATTCTAACAGAAAGTCACCCGCGACATTTTTACAACCTACTTAAGGGTTTTTAAACAGAAGTATGGTTGCAGTTCTAGTCGCCTTTGTAAAAAAAGCCCGCAATAAAAGAATATAACGGCTCTCGATTACACTGCCGTATGCCCCCGTATGTATACAACGCTCTCACAAATCGCAAGCCAGGCAGGAACGTTTCGGAACCAGCGGCTCGCTGCTGACGAGGGAAACACTAGTCCTTTTTTAATTTATCTGATTTTGCGATAGAAATATACACTTAGAAGTAAGAACTGCAAACATTTTTTAGAATGCAAGTGAAAATCAACGGTGGTGGAAATGCTGTCAAAGGCTTCGCCCAAGTCACTGAAGCCAAAGAAGTAGTTAAGGCAGGAAAGTGCGTCCGCAGTGTCTCGAGAATTCGAATAAAATAAGATAGAGCTCAACGACCGCGATCGACCTATTTTACGCATACTCTCTCATTCCTATTTTAGTTTCCATTATAAGCAGTCTTTCTTTTCGTGATCCAGAAAATATAAAAGTGAGAAAGGCGGACAGCTCCAAAATGAGTGTACGATCGCAGAAACCACAGACTGAAAATGCAAAGAAATTCACTCTTAACTTACAAAAAACAAAACAAACAAACAAACAAAAAAAAAACCTTTAGATTTATTAAAATAAAAATACACACCAAAATACCAATACGTTCCAAACAAAATCATCATATACAGAATCCCGATTACAATTGATTCCCGGGGTCAATTACCGCTTAACGCCTACCTACTGATTCATTAATGGTGACAATAAATCCAGGCTCCATTGCTTTTGATACCAGATAAGTTTTGGCTTTTTTTTTACTTTGCCATTTATCTTTTCCTTAATCTCCGATGGTTTTCTCTATCATCGCCTAAACATAAAAATGCAACTTAGCTCTCGATAGGTAATGCGTGGTGTGTTTGCTCTATTCCAGAGTTCAATAAAAAACAATTTTAGCATGCTGTCCGCTATATCTATCTGGGGCTTGCATTCACCCGATCAAATTTAGACTTTCCCAGAAACATCCATCATTATTTAAAAATCGGCACATATGCAAGACATCAGTTGAGAACGGATTCGTTGACAAGCTGGATTTTTAAGCCGGAGGTTGCTCATGACGACTGGGACAAGAGTTGCCCGAATAAACGCAGACGTCGGAGGTTACTCTTTTCTTTTTCCCACTGGATAAATTGCCGTAACCAATGTCCTCTATGAAAAATTTCCTTATATTCCTTGTTATTTTCTTCACCCATATCAGCCAGCGATGACATAATAAAAGGGGGAATAGGTGGCGAGCTGTCAGTCATGTAGGCAGTATGCCACGCTTGAAGGAAAAGCCGAAGCCGGCAGTAACTGGGCGGTCTCTGACGTCCTTCTTCCGGTGTGTGGGGTGGTGACGCGGTTGGTGTTGACGACTGGGTGTGAATTTGGTTCCGCGGAATTGCATTGTCCAAAAGCGAACGCCCGATTCCCTTCTCCCCAACCTCTCCAGAGGGTGACCACCACCGTTCATGGCCGGTTCTTTTGTGAGTCTTCCGTACCAATAATGAGCTGCTCTGATTAAAATAGAGCGAACTGAACAGGGACAAAAGAAGGCACTCGTCGAAGTCGAAAACCTTCCTTCGAAGGCCAAAAGCGTTACACAGTCACGAATGCTTGCATGCATGCTCACACAGGTACACGACACAAAGCGTCAAAAGGAACGTTATTATCAGCCTTAGTTTTTTCGTGTACATGCGACCTCGCGTAAGCACTAGCATCTTTGAAAGGATCAGACTTGAAGGAGGCAAATAATAAAAAAAAAAGATTGTTTTGGTTGGCCCGAGAAGTACATTCGACCAACTTTTTCTAGCTACTGCATGTAGTGTACACTCGGTTCAAAGCTACTTGCTCGTTGGACCAGTTGTGCGTTTTTCTTTCGTCGCGCAATCACACACTCGCCCATACCCTCGCACAGAGAAAGTATTCGGTCAGGTGATGAAAGGTGGGCGGTTGGTTGGTGGGGCGAGCGCGGAACTCGTTGCACTGTCAGCTCAGGGACGGAGCGAGTATGTAGCATATTGCCGCGCGCAAGGCTGAGAGGGCGGCGCTCGGTCACGGTCCTCCAGAAAGTTCCCGTTTGTTCATGTGCCGCACGTAACTTCTATCATTTATCCCTGCTTTTGTTTTCTAGAAAGTGCGTGTTCATTCTCGCCCCGATCACGCGACGCTCGAACCGCTTTCGCCGAATCTTCGAGATGACGACCCACTCTGGATAAGAGGCCGCCCGCGACCTTGTCGAGTCAGTCTCGCCCCAGTGTTCGACTCTGCTGCCACGCCGACTTCGACGCCCGCGACGCTCTATTATTATCTTTTGTACTCTTTTATTTTTGGCACAAGTTCGCCATATTAAACGTTTATTTCTTCTTGTTTATTTGTTATTTTTGGTCACCACCCGTGACATTTTGGTGGAGGTGCGGGGTACACCCGGAATTTGGACCCTTGCCACCCAGGACCGTGCAGTCAAACAGGACGACGATGAACAACCAGTCGCCACAGACCTCGACCGCTCCATCCGTCGTCTTTATGCCCGTCGCCCCACGCAACCCGACGCCATTCCATGGTGAGGCCCATGAGGATGTGGAGGATTGGCTACAGCATTACGAACGAGTGGCCCGCCATAACCAGTGGATACCAGAGCAGTGCCTTCAGAACGTCTACTTCGCTCTGGAAGGCACGGCGCGCACCTGGTTCGAGAACCACGAAGCGTCCATTTCGACGTGGGAAGAGTTCCAGGCCGAGCTGCGACGCACCTTTGCCAACCAGCAGCGACGACAGCGTGCCGAAGAACTCCTCCAAGCAAGACACCAAGGGCCAAACGAGAGCGTCACAAGCTTCGTCGAAGACGTTCTCCGCCTCATGAACCGCGCCGACCCAAACGCTCCCGAAGAGAAAACGTTGCGGGTCCTAATGCGCGGCACCTTCCGGCAGCAGCGACGACGATGATGACGAGTGCTTTCTAGGGGCAGTGAACACCGATGACATGGCACGACGTCAACGAGACGATCCGGAGCTGCGAGCCTTAATCGAGCGCCTGGAAGGGCGCGGCGGTACCGTACCCCGTGTTTTTTCACGAGCCGTGCCGACCTTCGCCATTCGACAAGGTGTACTCTACAAAGAGAACTTCGGGGACAACAACTCGCCGTGGCTGCTGGTTATCCCGACCGACCTTCGAGGGGAGATCTTTCAAGCATGTCACGACGACCCGACATCCGGACACCTTGGATACAGCCGGACACTGGCCCGTATTCGTGAAAAGTATTACTGGCCCAAGCTCCCCAAGACCGTCCACCTGTACACACGATCATGCCACGAGTGCCAGCGACGCAAGAAACCTCCGACGAGGCCGGCCGGACTCCTGCAGCCTATTTCTCCTCCAACTGCACCCTTCCAGCAGATCGGAATGGATCTACTTGGTCCTTTTCCACCTTCGACGTCGGGGAACCGCTGGATCATCGTCGCCACAGATTATCTCACACGGTACGCCGAAACGAAAGCTCTTCCTTCGGGGACTGCTGTGGAAGTTGCCAAGTTTTTCATTGAGTCCATCGTCCTCCGGCACGGCGCTCCAGAAGTTCTGATTACAGATCGCGGATCATCGTTCATGGCACAACTGACCCAAGAAATCCTCCGACTCAGTCATACCAGCCATCGTCGTACAACTGCGTACCACCCGCAGACCAACGGGCTTACGGAGCGACTCAACAAGACAATCGCCGATATGATCTCTATGTACGTCGACGTAGAGCACAAGACGTGGGACGAGGTGCTACCCTATACGTCACGTTCGCCTACAATACGGCGGTTCAAGAGACCACTGGATTCACCCCTTTCCAGCTGGTACATGGTCGGAAGGTAACGACCATGCTGGACGCAATGCTGCCCCATGAGCCATCTGACAACGAGAGCGACGACGCCCAGGCGGTTGCTCAACGCGCCGAAGAAGTTCGCCAGCTCGCCCGACTCCTGATTCAAGACCAGCAACGCGTCGACGCCGGCCGCTACAACCTTCGTCGCAGGGACGTCCATTTCCAGCCCGGAGATAGGGTGTGGGTATGGACGCCCATCCGTCGCCGCGGCCTCAGTGAGAAATTGCTGAAACGGTACTTTGGACCATACAAGGTACTTCGTCGCCTCGGCGAGCTGAACTACGAGGTGATGCCCGACGGAACAAGAACATCGTCACGCCGCCCACCACGACCTGAGGTCGTCCACGTCGTGCGCCTGAAGCCGTACTACGCTCGATAGGAGTGTGGACCTTTTGTGCTCCAAAAGACTCTTTAGTTTATCGTCTTTTTTATTTTGACTTGTTTTACACTGCATCGGGGCGATGCACTTTTAAAGGGGGGAGTAATGCCGCGCGCAAGGCTGAGAGGGCGGCGCTCGGTCACGGTCCTCCAGAAAGTTCCCGTTTGTTCATGTGCCGCACGTAACTTCTATCATTTATCCCTGCTTTTGTTTTCTAGAAAGTGCGTGTTCATTCTCGCCCCGATCACGCGACGCTCGAACCGCTTTCGCCGAATCTTCGAGATAACGACGCACTCTGGATAAGAGGCCGCCCGCGACCTTGTCAAGTCAGTCTCGCCCCAGTGTTCGACCCTGCTGCCACGCCGACTTCGACGCCCGCGACGCTCTATTATTATCTTTTGTACTCTTTTATTTTTGGCACAAGTTCTCCACATTAAACGTTTATTTCTTCTTGTTTATTTGTTATTTTTGGTCACCACCCGTGACAATATAGTGAGCGACAGGTTAAAACCTCGCAGACATTCCGCCTCAAGTGCCAGCTTTCTGCCTTTGACAGCAGTTTGGCACACCTGCAGCGAAGTCCGAAGGCCTCAATGCTTGTACGGCCGTACTGCGCTGGCTGAATTTCTCATCCACCAAGGACACATCAGACGCCCCGCTTTTCAAACACCACACTGTTCGCATACATTCTCTCTGATGAACTGGTTTTGCCACTTTTTTTAAACACTTAATTATTCGTAGTCGAAACCATGAAGTTCAGTACTGCTATATAGAAGACTGGGCATGTTTAGTTTCTTTTTTTTTTTCGTTACGGGTTTCTATATGGAAAGCTACTTTTAAGATGGCTGCCACTCTCTCTCACCCCCCCCCCCCCCCCCCCTCCCCTGGACTTCGATTTACGCCCCTGGAGGACGCCACCGAAACATCTCGTCGTTAACAGACTCCAGGTAACGGGACCAGATTGATATGAACTGGCTGGTATTTGCTGGTGGTAACAGTTCACTATCGTATGCTAACTTGAAAAACCCATAAATTAAGAAAAAGACAACAGGACAATTCAAACTGGCAGTGAATTGAAAAGTTTTATGTCTACAGAATATACTAAAAACAAAATATATGGTGGGCAAGGAAAGCTCGCATTATGACAGATATGAAGAATATTCGCACGAATACATGACTAGATGGGTAACAATGCAAAAATAACCTCGCAGACTAGAAAATGAGTTACATCAGCTCTCCTACGGAAACTCTGGTTACATTTCGACCTGGACCGGAGGTCCCACTTCCAACAACTGGAAGCTCTGCGATGACATGGGACTTAGCTGAGCACTTAATTTTACAGTACACAGACACGCTGATCAAGGAAACACTGAATATGAAGGTGGACACAGCAATACACACGCCTATGAGGTCACTACGTGCCAGAACATCGTAAGGGTAGGTGTAGTCAAAACTCTGCGACGAAACCGTCTTCACTGACTTCTCCGGGCGCGCCACGTCGGAGTATGCCACAAACTCGCAGACGGACAAAGACACCGTACCGTGCAGGTGAAGGCTGACGTGGCGGCCATGAACGGCTGTTAGACAGGGAAGATATACGGACTGACCGGCATGAGTACCCTTGAAGACGCTGCAAACTGCGTTATGAGCGTAAGCCTTAGTGGAGTTACCGACGCGCACGGTGGCGTGGACAGCAGACGGCATCGTTGCGTCGAGGAAGTTCAGCTTGACCACGGTGATGGGGAGGAGATCTTCTAGATGTACAGCGAGCCATGGCGAATCCTCAACTTTGGTTGAGGCGCAGGTGCTCATGTTGCCATCCACTGCGAAGGAGGCCTCGCCGCCGACGTTGGAAGCCGAGGACTGGACAACAGGGAGACCGGCCGCCAGTGACGTCGGAGAGGCAGAACGGCAGGCTTCGGGGGTGCCAGAGGCCATCGTCATGGCAGCGACGGTGCTGGGGTCCTATTCCTGTTAGGTAGCTTGACGTCCGGGTCGGTAAAGCTTTCGTCGGCATTCGAAGGACGAACTTGCCGTTCTTGGGGATTTCGGGCGTAGGACAGGCATCCGTACACAGGACAACGAGGACGCAGGCCAGCAGCACGGGGAGCATCGTGCACGATCGATTGGCGAGGTGGTTCATGCCCGATGTTCAGCACGTCCCCAAGAACGAAATCTCCGCCGTAGGGTCGCGTCTCAAGTACTAGCTAATCAAAAGGATTCTTTCTTTTGTATACTTGTACCCGGATTCTGTACTTGCCTAAAGACATACAACAAATCCGTTGAGCTCCAAACATTTGCTTCCTTTGTTTTGAGGTCAATTTTGCTGTGTCACTATCTTTAGGTGACCTTGAAGCTCCTGCAAGGGGGTTCTTCTACAGTGAGGGAAAGTGACCCCAGATCTCTACAAGTAGCATTGTAGACATTTGAGGTGCACTAGAGTGGTGAACGCCAAAAGGAATTGTTTTCCCTTTGTGCCTTTATTTCAAAGTGCACATTTCTGCGCTTCTTCTCTCCGAATGACAAACTCAATCCTGCCCCTGAAAGTTCGGCTTCAATTTTGGAGTGTTTGTTTAATTTTCTAGACTATTTTCCGCGGGGTGAATTTTCAGCTGACGTTGCTCCTTCTGAATCTAGTGGATAATGCACCCGTAAATATTTTTGACGTGCAAACACGGCGCAATATGGCTGTCTATTAGAGCATACAGAAGAAAATATCTTACCATAAAAACAAGCTTCGATGAATTGCCCTTCCCGCTTTGGCGAACCCGTTGACGCCTATTTGACATATGACTACCTTATAACTAGTATTCCACCATCAATTTTCACACCTGTTAGTACTCCACTTTGTATTTTAGACCGACTGTATCAATGGGAGCTTTGAGTCCATCAAAAACACTGGCTGTGTGGCAAATTACACCACCTGGCACTGCTTGTTCTGCCGTATTTTCGCGATTGCTACGATTTCATTTGAGTATAGTGCGTTATTGTATGCGGAGCCCAGCGCTCTCAACGTGCGTTTTTTAAGTCAGGAATAAGCGCTATTAAGTCGATAAAAATACTAATGTATACAAAAAAGAAATTGCCAACTCTGACGGAGACGAAATAATGTGTAATATTTTTAATGAATCACGAAGGTTATATCTTTATGACATGTTCGGAAGAACGCATTTTTTTTTTCATTTTGATACGGCGTAAATAAATTCTGTAATTTAATGTAATTTAAAAAAAAAACAAAAAAAACATGACAGAAGTTTTCGCAACGTAAGCGGTGCGAGATAAAAGCTTACCAATACTAGTATAGTGTAGTTGGCGAAAGGTTGGCGCGACCATTTTTTCCCGGGGCAATCCGCATGATCGGATTCTCCCGTGCCAAGAAATACTAGTCTACTATTGTTTCTAAACTGCCGGCAAAAATATTAAAAAAAATTTAATTTGAAAACGAATTAAAAAATTTTAAGATGGCGTCTGTGAAGCTCCGTTGCAATGCCGTCAGGTCACGGGCCTCTAAGAAACAGCGCCAGTTCGTGGAGTATGGCTCGCTTGTGGAGTTACACTTGTTACACTAGCGCTCTTGACTGTCATTAAGCCGACGACAGTTGACTAATACCGGTGGTACACGGGCATACTTAACCGCAGTTATCTCACATTTAAAGGGACACTGACAGGATATCAATGCTCGCCAAGATTTTTGTTTGTACATGACACATAAGAGCCCTGCTAACCAGAACACAATTTGCAGCTCCAAATTCGTTTTCTCTCCGCCCGAAAACCGCTGCTCAAGAACTGGCCCGTTGAGTCGCGCTCACTCTCTTCTCAGTGGTCACGTGCCGCTTTCTATGGTTTAGACAGAACCAACGAAAATAATCGAAGCCGTGGGTCATCGATAGCACAGACTTCACATAAAAATGCAAAATAAATATTACCCCCCCCCCCCCTTTTTTTCGTGGCTCCTAAAAACTGCAAAAACGTTAACTAAAAGAAAACAAACACAACAACAAAAACACGCTGCACATTTACGTGATTTTCGCCAACTCTCTCCTTACCTATATTTCGTCTTTCTCCTCAGTCCAGTTTTGGTTTAGGTTTCGAGCAGTTGCGTTTTAGGGGTCTAGCCTTGTCCGTCCGTCCGTCCGTCCGTCCGTCCGTCCGGAGTCCGTGCTCATATAAAAATAAAAAATAAAAAATGTTTGCGCAGTTGACAGGATTCCAACCTGTGTGGGGAGACCCCAGTGGATTTCTAGTCCATCGCCTTAACCACTCGGCCACGACTGCGGGACGAGTAGGGGGCTCTGAGATGTGGTAGTAACTCAAGAACTGGGGATGTCATGGATGAAACGTTGCATGTAGCCGCTCAACGTCTATACAAGAGAGGGCGCTGCGGTCAAATGCTCAAATGTGTATATAACCACGTTCCATACCACACATTCTCTTTCTGACATGGACCGCTGACTTAAGCGATGGCAGCTTCTAGCGGATCCCACGACAGCTTCTAGCGGATCCAAGCTGATCCACTAGAAGAACCACTGGCTCTGCCTTTCACCGACCATAAAACAGTAATAATGAAGTCGAAACGCAACCCGGAACTCAGCACTACCTATGAGCAATAAAAAAAAGATCAGCACCATCAGCACTACCTATGAACAATAAAATCAGTATCATAGGCACCACCAGAGCTTCGCCCCAATCAACATCATTCACCACGTGGAGATGCGGTCATTTTTTGGACTTTATTAAAAATATACATGACGCTGTAGCAAAATATTGATTGGGTAGCATTCTGACACCAAAATAAATCGCCCGGCAAAAAAAAAAAAAAGTTGTTGGAAGTGTCAGTGTTTCTTTAAAGGGGCCATGAAACGATTTCTGGGCTGGGATAAATGATTTTAAGTTGGGACTTTACTAATAGCATATCGTTTAGTGGGTCAAAAGAAAGAAGGTAGAAAGTCAAAAGCAAGCTTTTCGGTACGAACATTTGAAAATATAGCGGACTATTTCGTACCTCCTTTGTTTCAAAAGCTCTCCGCCTTTTCACTATGATACACCCGCGCAACCTAAAGCACGTCAGCGGTGCCAACCTGACGTCAGCCGACCCCAGCTCACGCATTGGACACGAGAATTGTGGCACTTGGACGTATGCGCTCGTCAACAATCAATCCGTCGACGAATATTTGGATTCGCGTTCGTGGCCAATGAGTGCCCTGACGGAACTTATCGTCACTTGAGAATGACAAATTCTATGGTGCGCAGAACCCAGGAATCCAGGGGTGCTATGTTGCGCTTTTTGGACTCCCAAGAGACTAGGGAGAAGGAAGTGACGTCAACGATACAGCACACGCAGATTGGATGTTGACAGAAGAAAACAAAATCAACATCCAATCTGCATTTGCTGCGTTCTTGACGTCACTTCCTTCTCCCTAGTCTCCTGGGAGTCATAAAAGCGCAACATAGCACCCCTGAGTTCAATTCGTTCGAGCCCCACCCCTGCCCGTTTCGATCTGGATGAGCATCGTACCAGCGTGCGGTCGTGTATCACTACTGCGTGATGCACGTTAAAGACCCCAGGCTAGCGGCTGTACCGCACTGGCTAAATTTCTCATCTACAGCTGGGAGACTCGTTCGCCCCTGTGAGGCAGACCAAGTTCTAGGCTGTATAAACACACACACAACCCAATTTTTGAGTTCAATTCCCATTCCTGCCCGTTTCGATCTGGATGAGCATCGTACCGGCGTGCGGTCGTGTATCACTACTGCGTGATGCACGTTAAAGACCCCAGGCTAGCGGCTGTACCGCACTGGCTAAATTTCTCATCTACAGCTGGGAGACTCGTTCGCCCCTGTGAGGCAAACCAAGTTCTAGGCTGTATAAACACACACACAACCCAATTTTTGAGTTCAATTCCCATTCCTGCCCGTTTCGATCTGGATGAGCATCGTACCGGCGTGCGGTCGTGTATCACTACTGCGTGATGCACGTTAAAGACCCCAGGCTAGCGGCTGTACCGCACTGGCTAAATTTCTCATCTACAGCTGGGAGACTCGTTCGCCCCTGTGAGGCAGACCAAGTTCTAGGCTGTATAAACACACACACAACCCAATTTTTGAGTTCAATTCCCATTCCTGCCCGTTTCGATCTGGATGAGCATCGTACCAGCGTGCGGTCGTGTATCACTACTGCGTGATGCACGTTAAAGAACCCAGGCTAGCGGCTGTACCGCACTGGCTAAATTTCTCATCTACAGCTGGGAGACTCGTTCGCCCCTGTGAGGCAAACCAAGTTCTAGGCTGTATAAACACACACACAACCCAATTTTTGAGTTCAATTCCCATTCCTGCCCGTTTCGATCTGGATGAGCATCGTACCGGCGTGCGGTCGTGTATCACTACTGCGTGATGCACGTTAAAGACCCCAGGCTAGCGGCTGTACCGCACTGGCTAAATTTCTCATCTACAGCTGGGAGACTCGTTCGCCCCTGTGAGGCAGACCAAGTTCTAGGCTGTATAAACACACACACAACCCAATTTTTGAGTTCAATTCCCATTCCTGCCCGTTTCGATCTGGATGAGCATCGTACCAGCGTGCGGTCGTGTATCACTACTGCGTGATGCACGTTAAAGAACCCAGGCTAGCGGCTGTACCGCACTGGCTAAATTTCTCATCTACAGCTGGGAGACTCGTTCGCCCCTGTGAGGCAGACCAAGTTCTAGGCTGTATAAACACACACACAACCCAATTTTTGAGTTCAATTCCCATTCCTGCCCGTTTCGATCTGGATGAGCATCGTACCGGCGTGCGGTCGTGTATCACTACTGCGTGGTGCACGTTAAAGACCCCAGGCTAGCGGTTTGTACTGCACTGGCTAAATTTTCCATCCACAGCTGGGAGACTCGTCGCCCGATGAGGCGGACCAAGTTCTAGGCTGTATAAACATACACACAACCCAAAAAAAATTTTTTTTTTTTTTCTATGGTGTGCTTTAAAAACACGGTGGAAGCTTAGAGTCATCGCACCGGTGGCGAAGCTTGTCCGCGACGACGTGATTTCTCAATTCGCCTTTAAATCGAGGATTAAAGTTAAGTAGGAAGTAGAAAAATCGTTTCATGACCCTTCCAACTGCTGTGACGCGTCACCCCAGTTACGCCACTATACTCTCGGATAGCTATCTCAGAAGAAGTGAACAGTGTGCGTGCACTGCTTTGATGGATGCTCAAGCGCACGTGCGCTCGTAGCTTTAACTGCAGATCCGCAGACCGTTGTTCGCAAGTATCATGTGATAAATGTGGCTTAGACTAACTGCAGTGTAGTGTGCCCGCGTAACGAGGGTATTAATCGCGGTCGGGCGGAGTTACACGGCGGCTGCAACTGTCATTGAGCTGCTAACGATAATTGAGTTCAACGGAGCTGGCCTACAGCGCGAAACATATGTACGACGAAACCTTCCGATCCGACGTGCGGACTGCCTGAATGACCTTGGAGGGCGAGGGTTTTCGTAGCATCGGAGAGCGTTGAAAACACTCGCCTCCGACCGTCGTATTGCCTGGTCGGACGTCGGATCGGACGGTTTCGTCGTACATGTGTTTCGCGCTGTGCGTTTTTTGCACGTCGTATGAGCGCAGTCAAGTGTTAGCCGGGATCGCGTCGCCACCTACATGTCCCCTACCTCCTCGTTTTCCCCATTTTATTTTTTCCTGTTTTTATTTCGCAGTGACTATTTCGACGTCCACAGTTTACAGATCTCAAACATTATTTCAAAGTCTGTATTGTCACTTTCGTAAAATGTCAAAATAGTGTCTTTATTATTTCAACGTCGAGCGGGTTAACGACGGAACGATCGGGATGTTATGCCAAAAGGTTGTGAATGCAAACATTGCCTCCTTGATGTTTCTTGACCGATGCGAATGAACAAAGGTTCTGGCGCGGTTGTGCGAGATATATGCATTTTCCGATCAACGGTGAATTTTATGACACGACATTCGGGTCCTTTGTTGATATAAAACTCGTGAAATAAATCATGAAAAGCAACTGTGCCGCATTCTGTAATTTAAGGAACAACCAGGCAAACGTTACGCGCGACCTGATAATTGATGTACTCTGAGAAGTTTTTTTTGCAATCCACAAAAAGTCATAAACACTGCAGTCGATTGCAAATTTGTTTTCGGAGAAGGCGTGTTAAACCAAGACGCCGCCTGCAAGCAAAAGATTTGTATGACTGCCACTTCCGATCACTTTCCAGTCCGAACTTCGAAGTTCTAAGTATCTAAGTTAACGTCGCCCCAGCCCGAACTCCGAAGTTCTAAGTTTGAGATGTCAATATAAGGAAAAACAAATATTTTGACGAGCGACGTCAATGAGTGAAACGCCGAAAAGAGAAACGAACAAGATAAAAAAAAAAAAAAAAAGATAGAGAAAAAAGAGGAATTTTGGACCGGGGGGGTGGAGAGCAGCTGATCACGTGATCCTTTTTGTCACGTGCAAAAAAGGTTTTCCTTGCTTCACCATATGATGTACCACAGGAAAGGCGACAAGCGCGAGCTCCTTGCTCTATGGAACAGTCTCGGCGGCACAAGCTCTCGTGCGTTACGGCCAACGCTATGATCTCGCATTTCTAGGCTTCGCTGCGGTACAACGAAAGGTGGAACGGAGTACTGGGCGTCCGCGAGAAAACAGAACCCTGTTTTTCGCATTGCAAAAATAAACTATACTTCGTCTCACGTTAGTATGGACTATTGTTAGCCTGCGTGCTAAAAGCGCGAGATAGTTGCTTTGAATGAAGCCTCGGCAGCTGCACGAGCGCTCGTGCAGCGAGTGCTCTAGTCAAGGCAGTCACGGCTAGCCGCTCGCGCTAGCACAGCATTCGCGGTTAGTCCATGCTAAGATGAGACGAAGTATTAGCGGCGAGATGTTTGGGTGGCGCCCTGAAATGGTTACCTCTCGTGATGTCATTACCCTGTGAACAACAAGTTTGATGGTGCTTGAAATTAGCATGGTGGAAGCTGGAAATTATTGCGCTTTTAAACCAATACCGCCAACACCGTCAAAATCAAAGTTCTTACATCACTCTTATATCCGTCGATGAGGAATCATTTGCTGACGTCAAAGTCAGCATTCGACCAATCGTAGAGGCCCGACCACCGCGACGCTTTCGATCGGTCACGTCGCCAATAGACATCGCTGAGAGCTCAAACTCCGCCAGAACGTAGCCCCAGCCGTTCG